GCTCCCCGTCTGTTCCCCGTCCTTGTTGTGTTTCAGGTCTGAGGAGTGAAGGAGGGAGAGCCGGGGTCCCCCCAGCAGGTGGACATCCAGGATGACCGCCGTGAACGCGCATCCACCCTGACGCAGGATTTCGGCTGCCGTCTGCTGCCGTGAGCTCACCTTCCTCATCTGCGCCGTCCTCTGCTCCGAGTCCCGTGTCTCCTCCGGACGCGTCTCCTGCAGCTCGGACACGGTCTTCTCTCCGATTCCAGGAGACACGGACAGAAATGGTGAGTCCTGGGGAGCCCGCGTGGCTACAGAGTCCCTGTTCCAAACCAAAGACGTTTGTTGAGAACCCATGCTCTGCTCTGGGGGACACAGATGGACAATCTCCCCATGTGTGATGGACAGACTCAGACTCTCCCTGCGGGGTCAGTTGTCAGTCCGTTTACACTCGTTCACGGTGAGCTGTTTGCTTTGATTTAGAAGGAAATGTTCGTGTTTCTGTTCCTGGGTTTATGTTCCCCACAAGCAAATGTGTCTAAATCATCTGGTGTGTGTGTCTGCCTTGAATTTTGTATTTTAATAGATGAAGTGTTCCCCAGCCTGGATGTGACTTTTCTCTGATGTGAACGATATTCCAAAACCTAGATCCGTCTGGAGGCTTCCCTATTGCACTTGAGAGGAGCCGGGGTGGCTGAGGGTGTGAGGCCTTCAGGTGTCCTCCCGACGTTTGCATTGACCTTGTGCAGGAGACACACGGGCCGTCCCCTCCCGGGACATTCAGAGCCTCACAACACGGGGGTCACTTCCCACTCGGACTCTGTAGTTTGCCTGGGAAGAGACTGCCCCTGTGTCCTGCGTGTTTTATGAAGATGAATATTTTATCACGGTGTGGAGAGCGGTCAAGTGACAGGTGCCCTACAGCGGACCCTCCCGTGTCTTCTCAGAGGCTTGGATTTTCTCCCGAGGAGACGGATGGTCACGTGTTCACCTGCGCAGCACCTGGTGCGTTTGAACCCCACGCCTTGGGTTGTCAGGGCCGTTCCCTACCCACGGCACCACCAGGTGTGGCGACTGTGCCGTCAAGGCCCAGCCAACTCCCAGCTGCCCGTCCAGCGGGTTTTCAATCATCGCGTGGGAGTTGATGGCCCTTCGCCTGGTCAAGTTGAACCGTGGGCATTTGGGCTTGCAGCACTGCTAGGCCCCCACAGCTCCCTAGAAAGAAAAATATTGTAAAAGATAAAATATACACACAGAGAGAGTGAGAGAAGATGACAGAGACAGAGGGAGAGAGATTGATCTCAAAGACCCCACAGCCAGCTAGAAGTGTCTCCTGACCTGTGTCCATTCACGGGCTGATGGACCCTGCTGAAGAGGTCACACAGCAGCCTTTTTTTGCTCCCAAGGTTCATGAATGCGGGATGGTCAGACGGCGTGACAGGCTGCAGGCTCCAGGCCCAAGGATTCAGGGTCCGATGGTCACGCACAGGACGCAGGCCGAGCATCGAGGCCCTTTCCTGTGATTTAGGAATCAGTCACGCTGTGGTTGTTTGTGGGGTCCAGTCTGCAACACGCCCAGAGTCTGTCACATGAGGCTCCAGTATCTCTGCGTGCAGGGAGCTGTCTGTCTGCACCTTCTCCACAGCGTCTGTTTGCTCCTTTGTCCGTCCGTGGGCTGTGCAGTGCTCTTGTCCACGCCTCAAAGGCACCCATTCTTCTGGTCTCACCTTTATTCACTGTCCAGCTCTCAGGTGCCCAGCAGGTGAATGAAAAGACCGTGGCCTGAGTCAGGCGCACCTTAGTCTTTAAGCGAGTATCATTGCTCCTCAGAAAGTCAGGCCGTGGGAAATCCCGTCGTGCAACTTGCAACACGAAAACCACACGTGCTCTTTTCTGACGTAGAAGCAGTTAGTAACTGAGACAGAATCCATGACCTGAGTCAGAGCATCTTCCATTCCGCTCTGTTTTGTGACCGTTTTATACTGTAAAGAGTATAAAGGTCCCTCGGAGGGCAGCCCGTGGGGTGGAGTGAATAATTAGACCACTGTTGATTGTAGTCACACGCGGTGGCATTGATTTCCGTGTGTTGGGAGGATCCGGGGTGTAATCTGTGGGGAAGTGGACGCAGCTGGCGAGGGGACAAGGCCGGTGTCCATGCCGTGTGTCAGCTGCTGTTAGACCCCAGCCTGTCGTGTCAGAGGCCTGTGACTTCCCAGCTCTGTGGCCTGTGGGTCACCGTGCGTCCTTGTCCACGCTGTCTTCCGTGCGCCCTTGTTGACCTCGAGTGGGGGGATTGTTTCAGGAGCCCGTGGCCATTGAGGACGTGACCGTGGTCTTCAGCGCTCAAGAGTGGCCTTTGCTGGACGCGGCTCAGAAGCTCCTCTACCGAGACGTGATGCTGGAGACCTTGAATCACCTGGCCTGCGTGGGTAAGCACGGCGTCTGTGTCTTCTCCCCGTGGCCCCATCGTGAAGGGAGAGATGCCACGGCACAGCCCAGCCTCCTCCCCGTGGACGTGAACGGGTCCATCAGTGTCTGAGCTCCTCTGTGACATTGCTGTCCGGGACCGGCCCCTGGAGCCCACCTCTGACCCTGACCCTGCAGGGCATTTTCACAGTCAGCAAATCTCACTGGACGAAATCACCCGTCTTTCTCCCCTGACCACCTGGTGGGTTCTTGAAACCGCTCGACTTCGGTTGCTAGCAGTCTCCCCGGCCAGCTGTGCTCTGTAGCGCCTACGTTAAATCTGTTAATCGAGAATTGGTTTCAGAATCTATTTATTTTTGAGATGACCGTAATTTTTCAGAATCACGTTGTTTGACGTCATCTGCCGTTTGAACAGTTTGACGCAGAACGACTCCAGCAGGAGCTGCTGTAGCTGTGATTCCCTAAAACAGCGGCAACGGATGCTCCAACCAACCTCTTGATTCTTTTCCATAACTGATTCGTAGGATGCTCTAAAAAGGTCCTCTCAGGAGATGACTGCCATCTACGACCCAAATGAACGAGAAGGGCATAACCCGCTTCTAGATAGCAATCGAAATATACATATATATACTCTTAGGAGGTGGGGGAGAAACAGAAATTTAAACACGTATACAGAGGACATTTGTTGTAAATCAAAGTTAAATTCTCTGTGTCTTCTTCACTTTTTCCCCGTCTGCTATCAGCTTCTTTACCTGGCCCCAGGTCAGAGTCTCTGCTTACCTGATCTCCCATAGCCACGTCTTTTGTCGTTTCTCTAAAATCATCACACTCAAAGTCCGGCTTCTTTCGTCTTATCTCGGGGTTTCACGTTTCTGGACGGTACCCCCAGCGTTGCTTTCCCTGTAGAAATCGAAGCAAATCCTCAACGCCAATGAAAGACAAATCCCTTTTTCTATTCATTAGTTAGAGGCTAAAATATATTGAGCTGAAAGACTCTAAAATATATGTGCTGATTCAGTTCTTTGATGGATTGCAATACCCATTGTCTTTCAATTGGAATTCCTCTTTTACCATTCAAATGGAAAAAATTTTAAAGTAAATGTTGGTTTTTGTAAAATCGTTTCGGGCAGATGTTGTATCCTAATGCCATCTCCCCACTTTTTGCTTTTTTCAACATTGTTTGTAAGGTCCAATTCGCCCTTTCTATTATAGCTTGTTCTTGGTGAAGAATACCAGGAATATGGTTCATGTTTTCTTTTTTGAAAAGTTTTTGTGTTTATCTTGCAATAACATAATAACAATATGTAATTCTGCCTTTTGAACAGAAATCAAATGAGTTTTAAGTCATTTATGATCTTGCCATTAGAATAACCTCTATATTTCTTCCTGTTAGCATTTGTATAATAGCTATTAGCTGTAAGAAGATAAGTTTTCACCTTTGCTGATAGAATCCTGTTTTTTTAATGAATTGTAATTATTTATTTTGCAGATAAGAATCAGATATCTTACCTACCTAATCAGAAAAACCGGTTTGCGAATTTTCAGAAATTTTTCATAAGTTATTAACTTGGGTAGTTGTAAATAGGACTATTATTTCAAGTGGATCAGATGCCAACAATTATCTTAACCTTGGTTGTCCTTTAATAATCAAATCACAGATTTTTTTCCCCAGCATAAATAAACTATTATAAAATAATTTCCCAGAAAGAACCATGCTAATATTTTTTGTTCTTAATGTAAAATCCCAGTCAGTAGGAGAGTGTAGAGAATGAATCATTATTAATACAACAGATATGTTCATGTCTATGTGACTTAATTGGGCCTCATGAATTCTTTGTTCTATAATTCTTAGTTCTTTTTCCTTTGTCAAGGGCCACTGCTCAACCCTTATCAGCTTATCAGTTAACCAAGTTAATCAGAGGGCAAAGCCTCAAACAGTGGTCTCCATTATAAATTTGGATCCAGTGATCCTACTGTGATTATCTTTTGCTTCTTTGAAGCTGACCTTTTCTTGTTATTTCTTCCTAATCTCTTCTCAGGGAGATAATTCACATTTATATTCTCAGCCTCCTCTGATATTGTAGGAATTTTCAGCGTGTCTCCCCAGGCAGCAGATCTCTTCCCTGTGATGTAATTGCAATAATCTGCAATGAAACGCTGTCATTTTGCTCTCTGTGCTTTGGGTCCTTGACATTTTAACATATATTCTCTTTGTTTTACTCCTCTCAGAGTTCCTCTTCCTGTAAAAGTAACAAAGACATCTTTTGATTGTGATTCACTGATTATAATAATTAGTATACTATTAGTAATTCAGCAGTGTTGATTATCAATGATTGAGACCTCAGCGCCAATATCAGCTAATGCTTGAATTTCACATCCTTCTAATTTTACGGTCACTTGAGGACAAGTATCATGAATGATAGTTTTCCAATAGATATTAGTCCCAGTACTGTCAGATCTTTGTCTTTTTATTGGAGCTGCCCTTTGTTTTATATGAGTCAGGAGCAATTAATAAGCTACTCTCTGGTCTTTTCACAAGATTAGATCTTGTCAAGTTTGTTTGTTGTTGTTATGTGCCATCCAGTCGTTTGCGACTCATAGTGACCCTATGTACACCAGCCCTAAACCCTGCTCTGTCCTGTGCCAACCTCACCGCCTCTGACACAC